GCCCCATCAATTAAAAGTTTTAATTTAGAAACTGAATGCTAATTCTAGGAAGAGTTTTGCTTGAAGACCTCACCATGAATTTCATTGATCCTCCTTTTTCATTGATTTGGCCTTAGCAAGCGGGACCAAAGTGTCTCCTTGCTCTTGGTTCCTCCCCAGCACTGGACAGTTGTGATGATGACGATGATGATGATGATGATTATTTTCCCTAAAATGGGCCACGCCCCCTCACCCCTTTGCCATGAAGCTGTGAGCTCGCAGGCTGTGGAGAACCTTCAGGAGAGGATGGGCTCTGTGAGACCTGCCATGGGCCGCCTCCTCCTGGGACACGGGTGAGGTCTCTGTGTCCCCAGGCCTCTTGGGACAGCAGGGGTGCAAGGGCAGCCCTCCCCTGAGCAGTCCACCCTGGCTGGCAGCCTCTTCCAGCTCTGAGGCTCACCTCGCATCTTCTCAGAATCCCCTTCGCTGCACATTTGAGTCGATGGCTGGAGTTCAGTTGTGCCAGTGCAGCCCTCACGGCCTCCAGTGGTGCCTGTAGGTGCTGCCCCAAGCAAAGCAGGCTCCTTGGGGGGTTCATGCTGTTGTTGGTTTGAGTTTTGTTTGTTTATTTTGGTAGTGGGAACAGAGCTCAGGCCCTTGCACTCTCCAGGCAGGCGATTAGCCGTTGGGCTATCTCCCCGGCCTGGGGGATTCATACTAACCGAAGGGTTCAGAGACCAGGACACCTGCCTGCTAGGGGATGCTTGTACGCAGTCTTTCCAGGCTTCTCAATCCTCCTGAAAGCTGTAGAAAATTGTCTCTCCAAAGAGTTTTCTTTCTATTTTAATATTTTGTTAAAACACTCTTCCTAGTTCTGAGGTAGGTGATAAGGGAGTGTTCGGTAAATTAGCTCCAAGTTTGGCCAAGAAGCAGAAGGGGCAGCCCACCTGCATTTCCAAAGCCAATAGCAGCGCCTTCCTGCCTCCCATGCGCACAGTGCTCGGCCACACGTCAAGTCCCCTATGGAGTTAGAGCTCTCACTGTCCTGTCCTGTGGGCAAGGTGGCTACTGCGAGTCCAGCTTTCTATGCAGAAGGAAACTGAGGCTCAGAGGTCCCAAGAAAATTGCCTCAGGTCATGTTACAAGTCCACGGGGCTGGGACCTTTGAATTACTTCATTCAAATTCAGTTGATTTAGAAGCCAAACATCCTTTTGTTAAAAATAACTTCCCACTTTTATTCATCTGTCTATTAAAAGTGTTTACTGGGCACCTACTGTGTGCCGAGAGTCATGCAAAACATTTCATATTTTACAGCCACGGCTTTATCCTTGCCTTACGCCAGACACTGCTTGGCTAACCCATTTCCCTACCTCCAGGGCGCTCGTAGTATAGGTAAAGCTCTTCATGGGTGACAGCTGTGTTTCCTGGGGCCATCTGCACTGGCATTTCTATCCAGAGCTGAGGGCAGTGTAGAACCCACTCCGCTGGCCAGGGAAGGGTCTTCTTGCCCCCACACCATATGGCCTTCATTGTTTGGTCTGTTCATTACATCTGCGAACACCTGTGAGCCAAGTTAATAACATTTTGACATTGTGTTCATCTTATCCCACCGAAAATGAGTACTCAGTCAGTTTAGGAAAATTCATAAGCTGCAATTCAACACTGAATGAAAAAAAAGAAAGCCAGACTGTGTGAAGTAAAATTTCTTTCTTGCAAAATCTCTAAGTTCTGTTGATTGTTTGCAGGTAATGAAAACTGCATAGAGGTGCTTTTGGAGCAAAAGTGTTTCCGCACGTTTGTGGGTAACCCCTTCACGCCTCTTCACTGCGCAATGTAAGCACACGTGCCCCATCGGCTGTCTGGCCTCTGAGTATAAACATGGCCTTTTAGGGAAGGAGAAAGCTTCCAGATTATAGCTAAGACTAAACTATTCCATTTCACTGCTAAAGACAAGTAGTTCTGCTAGTGAAGTGTGGGCTCTCGTGCTGTGGATTTCCCAGGAGCCCCGGGGATGTTCCACTGCTCTCAGGGGACTCACGCATCCCTGGAGAGCTGTGGGGTGGGGGCCTGAGGGCACATCTCTGAGGGTGTACAGCCCCTGGTGTCTGCTAGATTCTGAAAATAAGCCAGGGTCTGCAGCAGGCTGCTGTGTGGTTAAAAAGGCATTTGCTCCCAGGAGGTCTCTGCATGTTTGTCACACTTCATCAGAGTCGTGCTTTTGGTAAATCTAACTATTCCTCCAGTCTCAGGTCAGTCATTGGCAGGAGGGTACAGCGAGTTCCATCAGACTTCCATGCCAGCCTGGGCCGAGACCTGAGGTCTATTTGTGTATTCTGTGGGCTTCACAGGCCCCTGGCTTCTTTGTTGGGAAGACAACAGCAGTATAAAATAGATGAAGGGGGCCGGGGAGATACCTCGGCAGTCTAAGCACCTGCCTGGCAAGTGCAAGGACCCAGGTTTGATCCCCATAAGTGCATGCTGTGCCGGCCGTGAGCCGGCCCAAACCCAGTGTGGTGGCACACACCTGTAATCCCAGCACTGGGGAGGCTGAGACAAGAGGATTGCTATGAGTCTGAGCTGTGTAGTGAACCCCTGTACCAAATAAACAAATAAAAGATTTTTTTAAAAAAAGGGTGAAGGATCCACATCTTTCCAGTTATGGTCTACAGTACACCTGTACAGTGTCCTGTGCTCGGGCACAGTGAGCACACAGTTTAGAAGTCTTATGGCTGGAAAAGGGAGAGGGAGATGAGGTGGGAGGGACCACACAAGCCCAGGAAGGTGAAATTGGAGGGACTTGATGGCACAGGGTGACATTTTAACATGGAAATCCATTTCTGCTTTAGAATAAATGACCATGAGAGTTGTGCGTCGCTGCTGCTGGGCGCCATCGATTCCAGCATCGTCAGCTGCAGAGACGACAAAGGCAGGTAAGGGCCCCTGAGACGTGCCCAGTACTGCGGGCCCTGGGCTGTGCTTTGCAGCTGCGGAGTAGCCAAACAGCTCTTTTCCACTGACAAAGTAATATGCTGTAGGAGCATGACTTTTTCAAGCTGAGTATCAGAAAGGATATATCATTCGATTAAATTGCCTTTTTGCTAAGAAACCCTGGCCTCTTCCATAGCGACAGCTGCTGGGCTCTGTTCAGTCCAAATGGTATTTCCTCCTAAATACTTGCTGTGTGCCTGTAAGCATCTATAAACATATACATATGCATTCTTTTGATGCAAATGGGCCACTTACAACCGTATTCTACTTTTAGTATATCTTGGAAATTTCCACGCCAGCCCATACATATTCACGGCGTCCCTTGTGACGCACAGGCTGCCAAAGCCAGCATCGCCACTGTCATTCTAAAGCACATATTATTTCACCAAATGGGTGTGCTCTATTTTACTCAGTCTGCCTTCAGCTGAGGAAAAGTTCACTGGCTTCCAGTATTTTGCTGTTTCAAAGGAGCGTCGCACTGGATAGTCTGTGAGCCTGGAGACATGATCAACAGTATCTGGGAGATGAGGTTGCAGGAGCAGAATTACTTGATTAAAAAGCCCATAGTTTTGATAAATAATGCCAAATCATGTTCTCAAAGAAGTCACCCATCCATATTAACTTATATGGCTTTTTAAATCTTTATTTAATCTACCAATTACCTACAAATTTAAGGCTAGCTTTTGAAAGTCTCCATCTCAAAGATGACAGAGAAGTCCCTGAAGGTCACAGTCCATGCTGATTTTATCATCAGGGCCACCACAAGCCCCACCCCCACCCTAACGCATTTCTTCTGTGTGGGGGACGCTTCAGTGACTACCCTGAATGGCCTCTCGAGGGGTCTTGACCATTATGTTTCCAAGCGGAGACCTTTGAAACCCTAGATGACACCACACACGTTTCCCGGGCAGTTATTAAGGAGAGAAGAGGTTGAACGGAATCTAAACCCTACGCGCTTGACATCTCCAGGACCCCGCTCCATGCGGCAGCGTTCAGGGACCACGTGGACTGCCTGCAGCTGCTTCTGCGACACAACGCTCAGGTGAACGCCGAGGACAATGCGGGGAAGACGGCGTTGATGATGGCCGCAGAGAACGGGCAGGCGGGTGCCGTAGGTATGTGCTGGTCCCAGGCCAAAGTGAGGTGATATGGGAGCTGGCGATCTTGGGGTCTCCCCATCTGGAGAAGGGCAAGAGGCAGCCTTACCTCAGCCCCTGACTGCTTCCTCGGTCACTTCTTGTGCCGGGAACCTGGATCAGGGCAGGCCCTGCCCAGCCTCCTGCAGTGAAGTCTCACACTTTGAGGCCAAGTGTGGTGACAGTCACTTAAGTGGAAATAGTAAAACTACAAGGACACTTAAATGCCTGCCAATCTTTGATTTGGGTGAAACAAATAGGGCAATAAGTTGCTCCTTTTTTCTTTAAAAGCATGAAGTACAGTTAAGTGAGCTGTCCTGATTTAAATGTTGCTGTTTTTACAGTAACTTCTTCAAAATGCGTGTGATCAGCATTTCGTCTAAGCCTCTCTCTTCTCTTCCTGCAGACGTTTTGGTGAACCACATCCAGGCTGATCTGACTGTGAAGGATAAGGACTTGAATACACCCTTACATCTAGCTAGCAGTAAAGTATGTAAACAAACGTAAGGCACAGTTACTGGGTGTCGTGACAGTAATACCACTGACATCCCCTCTATTCTGGAAGTCTGCAGTGTGATTTTTCTGGAAGGTGTGCATTTTCCCAGGATGTTGTCAGCCATAGGTGGAATGGAAGGGGGAGAGGGAAAGGGCCACCTCCAGGTTGACGAGGCGATGCTCCACCCAGAAGAGTGAGGAGGCCCCGCTCCTCGTGGTACTGTCACTCAGGTTCTTGCCGCAGGCCTTCTGTCTTGATGCGGCTACTGTATCTGTGTCCTAGTGGTGGTGTCACAGCTTGGTACTGTATCACAGGGTAGGATCTTGCTTATGTGGCTTCCAGAAGTAAGCAGTTCTACTCATTTTGTGTTCATGCCATGGGAAGGCAAGCGTTGTGCTAGCAGGCCCCAAGAGTCCACTCTGCGAAGCAAGCAGCACACCAGGCGCAGTTCTGCCCCACCCCTTTCCCTTCTGCTGCACATTCCCACCTAGAGGATTGTGGCTGGGTTTGGTGGTGGTGGTGGTGGTAAAGAGGTCGCATTCCTGCTCCCATTAAGGACACTGCAAGAGGGCTGGCGAGATAGCTCAGCAGTCTAAGCGCCTGCTTTGGCAAGCATAGGGACCAGGGTTCGACCCCTGGTCCCGCATGCTGCCCCGGCCCCACCCCCAGAACACATGGACCGAGTCTGGGCATGGTGGCATGTGCCTGTAATCCCAGCACTGGGGAGGCTGACAGCAGGAAGATCACCATGACTCCACACTGTGTGGTGAGACCCTGTACCAAGTACATAAATGAAAACAGACATTGCAGGTACACACACATACATATATGTGCATGTATGTCTGGTGTTATCAGATACATTAGTAATATACATTAGTAATAGGGTGACATTGGCGCTTTAATCCACTGAGCTATCTGGCCAGCCCCGTGCCTTTTTTTACTGGTGTTGTTTTTCCCCTTCATGCTGTGGGAATCCCCAGAAGCACAGACAGACAGACAAACAGACAGACAGACAGACAGACAGACAGACGGACGGACACACACACACACACACACACACACACACCAGCTCAGTTTCACAATTACAGTTCAATAGAGAACATAAATGCAGTACTTTTCAGACTTCATGTGCAGATGAGCCCTGGTGGTGACTGTGCTGATCTTGGCCGACTGGGCCAGGGTGGACCCGGGAGGCAGCGTTTCTACCTAGCAGATGATACTGCAGTGGTTTTGCTCTTGATTGGCAAGGGCTCAGGAAGCCAAGACCCCTCAGAGGGCAGCAGGCTCCAGGCCGTGAAGGAGCTCTGCCTCAGTGAATTGTCAGCCATCTGCTGTTGTAAGATCCAGGGATGCCTTCTGCTGTTGAGCAGAGGCAGAATGAACTTTCCCGAGACAGGGCCTCCTCGTTGTGAGGCAACTGGCTATGCTAAGTGACCCCAAGGGAGGGTATGTGAGGACTCTGAGGGTGGGCAGGGTGCCAAAATGGGACTCGAAGGCGACAGGAGGAGATGGCCACTTGACGGAGTTTTACAAAGTAATATAGGAGCATTGAAGGTTGTGGGCTCTGCTCTTAATCCAGCAGCTGACCTAGCTAAGCTGCCATCTACTTTAGCTCTTTGAACATTAATTCTGAAAATTATCTTGGAAATATTCATGTTAAGTATGAATATTTTAGAATAGACTTATGCTAACCAAGTCCTAATCGGCTGCATTTAACTGCTTACAGTATCTGGGGCCCATTTCCTTTTTAGGGAAAAAAGTATACAGAAAATAGCCTTGCTGAATGTTTTTAGAACACGTTTGTTTTCAGTTTCAGATACGATGGAGTAATTATGCAGGACCCTGCTGCTGTCGCTGTCTCATGTTTCTTACTGTCCCTTTCCTTCACTAGGGCCATGAAAAATGTGCCTTGTTAATACTTGACAAGATCCAAGACGAGAGCCTTATTAACGCCAAAAACAACGCGCTGCAGACGTAAGTATGGCTGCGAAAGTTTCCTCTTGGCTGGAGCATTTACCCAGCGAATTTAAGGCCCTGCCCGGGCACGGCGCTGACCCCCGCAGAGGTCCCCTCCGCGCACCTGCAGTGCTCATAGCTAGCGAGACGGTTGCCCTTAGAATCCTCCTTTCACTCAGCCTTTGTAAAATCTAGTGTGTGAGCTCTTTGCTGTTCTTCACTGATATTTCTGTGGTAGCATTATAAATTTAGTGAGCTGTTAGAAAGATCTTAGAGGCTCATGGAGAAAGTTTTTGCATTATGTATCAGTGTATGTATTCTGACTGGAAAACAGCACCTTTATAAATCAGATTTCCAAAACACATTTGAAGAGTTTCTAAAGCTATTTGTCTTAGTTGTATTTTAATGCAATTCATATAAACCTCGGTGCGCAAGATCTACAACTTGCTTCATTTTCCACTTTAGGAAATTATTTGTGCATTTTTTAAAGGCAAAGGATATTATGACTTTTCAGTTAAGATGATGAAGCAGTTTACAGCCCAATCTGCTGTTTGACATTCTTCTATAAGGCATCGTGCGCTCAGTGAAACACCTGAGTGCATTTAATAATCACAACGAGATTTGAGTTGTATGAATGCCAGTCATGTTGATGGACGGTGTGAAACACGCTACGCCAGAAAGAGCCTTCTACCAAACACACGGACGTTTGAGCACTCTCCCAGGCTTCCTACTTACCGTCATTTAAAACTCTATGAGATGTAGACTGTTTTAATACTTGCAGCGATACCTGAGTATGGTACATAAAAATAGCCAGGTCATTAGCTCCTGGGAAAGATCTGCATGACACATACTTTCTTTAAAAAGTCAGTATCCGGGCTGGAGAGATAGCTCAGTGGTCTAAAGCACCTGCTTAGACAAGCTTAGGCAAAGTGCAGGGACCACAGTTTGATTCCCAGCACCACATGCTGCGGAAGTCCCGCCCCCAGAGTGGGCTGGCCACAAAAATAAATAAAATTAAATTAAATTAAAAAAAAAAGTCAGTATCCGTGTACTCTCTGGACTCCTGAGCACAGCACCTTTTGGTGACCCAAGCTGCCCAAAGCATCACATTTTTGCTGTGTTTGCTTCCCATTGCCATCTCAAGTACCTGAGAGGTTCAAACTTCAGACGAGGGCAGGTTTGCCTTTGCTCACAGGCTCAGACACACAGGTCCTCTGTTGTCAACTCATGCTGTGGCACGGGCCAGGGACAAGCCACAAAGTGTGGCAGGGAGCATGTGTGGCACAGCACAGCTGTACACTTGTGGCCCCCACAAGGGAGATCGAGAGGAAGAGCTGCGGTCCCACCACCCCCTCCAAGGCCACCCCATTCCCCATCTCCCAACACTGGGGCCCAGCCCTTGGACACATGGCCTCCGGGGGGCAGCTCACCTCCAGAACACAGGGTGCGCACCAAGCCACACCCAGCTGACGTGCCGCCTCACCTTGCAGGCCTCTTCATATCGCTGCACGCAATGGCTTGAAGGTGGTCGTGGGGGAGCTGCTGGCCAAAGGAGCCTGTGTCCTCGCCGTGGATGAGAATGGTAAGTGACAAACACCCCTGTGGCCGCAGGCACCGTCCCTGTGCTGGTCACTGGCAGGGGACAGTGGGAAAGAAGGGAGCCAGTTAAAAGAGCAGCGCGAATCGGCCCCTCGGGAGTCCTGTGCGTAAGCAGCAAGCGAGGCGGGCGCACCCTGTCTGTCCTGTCGCGGATCACACTGTGTCCTGTGGCCACCGCTGCTGTCCATTCTGCATGTCATGTCCCTAACTTGGCAGCAGGTCCCTAACTCTTCAGCGAGCTGGTGGAAACCCTTGGGGCATCCTGAAAAGCCTCTCCCAGCCTATGCGGAGAGTTAGGGATCGCGCATGCCGCTGGTGCATGCTCAAGGGCCTGATGGGCACTTAGATCTTCGATTGTATATAGTTCATTCTGAGATCAAACCTTTTTAAGTACACATCAGAAATCATATCCATAGCGTGGAAATTTGGGGAACTTAAGTAAAACATTTTTAACAAATGTTTAGACTTGAAGTCTCCCCTTGGTCTATATAACATTCCTTTTCTGAATCAGCTAATTCTTGTCAGCAGCTTTCTACTCTGCCTCCTAAGATGCCTGAAAACTAACACATACTAGAGCTGTACTAAAATACCATGTTAAGTGCAATGCCTCTTAACCTTGGTGAGAAAAGAAGAACTTCTGGATATTTATGAATTAAGTAATTTTTTAAACACGGCATTAATTGTGGCATTGAATTAAAGCATTATAATGTATTAATGTAACTCAACTGCTTATTACAGGTATTGGAATTAGCAGCTCATGCCTATTTCTCAGAAGTAAGCGGCCCTACTGACGTCATTAGCTAACTCTTAGTTTTGGTTCTGCAGCCCGTGTCTCCTAGCATGTTCCCCGCCCTGCCCACAACCTGGCTCCTGTAGGAAGTGCAGAAAGCCCCATTACTCCATCTCCTTGATCCTCCTGCCTCATCTTCCCTCTCCCCTCACCCCACTACCCACCTTCAAGTTGGCATGCAGAAGCCCACAGTTTTCCTCCAAAATGACCAGAGATTAGAATCAATTGGTTTTGCTTTCTTCCAGTGTAAATCTGGGACCTCTGAGGTTTGTCTAGTCCTTATCAGCACCAGGAACAAGAGTCCTGGGTCTGTGGGACATGGCCTCCTGGGTTGGCTTAGCCCCACCCACAACCCAGGAGCACAAGGGACAAGGTCCTCCTGCAGCTCTGGGATAGCCATTCCCACCATCTCTGCTCTCTGTGGGGTGCAGTGGGCACTTGTTCTTGTTTATTTTCATACCGGAAGGAGGAATAAATTCTACAGGTGGGGCTGGCAATCAGGTCGAGTTAGGCTGCATAAAGACAGCTCCCCTGAGTGAGCCGGCATGTGGACTGGGCACTGTGCTGGGCACTTTGGGCAACAGAAGGAAGGTGGGTCAGGTAGTGACAAAGCCAGGAGCAGACTGCTGCCCAGGGCTCCAGCTTTATGCACTGAGACAGTTTCCTCATCTGGACTGGACCCCATTATGTCTGGGTGCTGGACAGTGACACATTCTAAAGAGCAAGCATAGCGATGCCCCCACATCACACCGCAGATTGGGGACTTTGGTTAGTGGGGTGGCTTTTTAAGAAATTCTATTAAATGCCTTTTAAATGATCATGCATCTCTAATCACAAGCACAGACGCCCTCCCGTCTGACTTGTCCAAATGATTCCATTTTTTCAAACCCAGATCACTGGCGTAGGCCTTATGTGAAGTCACTTGGTGGGCAGCTACCTGACTCAGTGTCTTCTCCGACCCAACACACAGCTCCCCATCTCAGAAAGCCGTTGTTCTCAGAATGAGGTCCCCTCTGCCAGGGCCCAGGCTCATGGTGTGCGTCTGCCCCCGGTGGAAGTGTTGTCCTGATCCTGTTGTCCTGGAGTCACGTCCCACCATCTCCTCCTGTCTGTCCTCTAGATGAAGGCTGACATGGCGCCTAACTCTAGATAATTTCATGCTTGCTGTAGTGGTGTGAGCTGAAAACACAACAAACCCCAGTTCTGTAAATGTCTCTCCCTCCCACCCCCTCGGCCTCAGCCCTAGCATGATGTAACTCCTCCTAGCACCCGGCATGACCTCTAACCCCACATGCGTCTCCCCTGAGGCCCTACGTGTTTGGAATGCGTGCTTCTCCGGACCAGGACTAACCGCTGCCTTGTCTGCATTTACGCCCAGGTCATACCCCGGCCCTGGCTTGCGCTCCTAACAAAGACGTGGCTGACTGCCTGGCCCTCATTCTGGCTACCATGATGCCTTTCTCTCCTTCCAGTGCAATGACGGCTGTCAACTTTGTTTGTTTTAAAAAAGACAATTTGAGCAGGACGACCCTCTCCAACCTGGGTAGCATGGTTAGCTTGTGCAGTAACAACGTAGGCTCCGAGGACGGGTACAATGAGAACGACTCCGACTCCGAAACCTTTTGACTGTGGACTGTAGAAGCTTTTCCCTGATCACACACGTTGGAGGAAGGGAGAAGCTTGATTTCCAGGCTTCTGCCGAGGTCGAGTGTTCTGATGGGCCCGCACTTTCAGGAGCCAGTCACGGGGAGGGCGGGCCAGAGGGGGAGACTCCTGTGCAATGGGCCCCAGGCTGGTTTTGTTTCATGTTTTCCTTAGCTCTAAGGTACTTCTGTGAAAGTCTACCTCTCATTTAAGTAAGGAATAAAACATGTATTCTAATTATTTTTCTTTGGGGGTAACGCAAGAGGCCAGCTGTTCGTGCTAAAGAACTTTCTAGCGTCTCAGCAGTGACTTTTCAGCAGCCTCTCAGTGTGGCATTCGTGTCCTGGGGAGGGAGGGAGCGGCGGACAGGAAACGCCTCTGACCTCCTCTTGCTCTGATGTTTACTTCCTCACTAGAAGCCAAAGGTGAAGGCGTTCTGCTTCAGAAATAACCCCTGCAGGTGATCTTTCCAAGGGAGTCCACTATTCCTCTCCCGTCCGTAGTCAGTGCTTAAATATCCAGAACTTCTTTCTGAGGGTCTCTGTTAGTTTCCAGATGAATGGGAATGTGAACTTGCTTTTGTGCTTAACCCCAATATGGCACTCGGTGCTCCCCTAACAAACATGTGACTAATTTTCCCCCGAGTGATTATGAAACCCAAACTGACCCAGTAACATTCAAGTGGAAATTGCATTCCATCAAAACTTTGAGATGATGTGTAAATTTAATACAAAACTACCCTTTGTTGGCTTGTTCTATGTCAAAATACTTTTTCAAAGCATCTGATTCGCCAGCGTTGTTGGTCACTGGCGAGGTGTGTAGAGAGCTCTGCGGCCCACATAACACCGAGGGAGTGGAAGGGACTGCAGACAGGACCCAGAAAGTGGAAATGGGTGAGGCGGGGGTGCAAGCCAAGTGTAGCTGCACACCTCGAGGCCAGCGTAGTGAGTACTGTCTGCTCCCTCTGCCAAAGCTTCTAGGTCAAACGGACCCCGTTCCACACCTGGGATAGCTGCACAGAAAGAAGAGTGAGACCCAAAACTTATGCACATGCACACGCACACACATGTGTACATGCATGTGTATGTATGTAGCTCACCAGCCAGCTGAACACGAGGACCAAAATGCGTCAGCCTAAAATGGAAGATTTAGAGTGTTTTCCTTCAAAGCGCAAGTAAGAACTACAGGAGCTTTTCTATGGAGCTCAGATATCATCTTTTCTGAGTACAGTCTTTGTTGTATTTTGTAATTCTTATGACAGAGACTTCCAGTGGACAGCTGAACATTTGCAACTGGTAATACATTGACCACGGTTTATTTTTCTGCCAAACTAGAGATGTCCATATACTTTTGATGTAAATGTTTTTATATTTATTTGAATGAAAGAAATATGAGGAAACATCCACTGTTCTGTTTTCATTGCTATGTATTTTATTTAGAATAATTTTTTAAAAACATTAGAAACCACCTTTGACCCCAGGTGCTCTAAGCCCTGGGGACAAAACCAGCATTTCCATGGCGAATGATCTGCGTGTGCTCTCAGGCCCTCCCCAGCCTATCTGCAGCCAGCTAAAAGCTTAGAAGATACCACAACCCACAGCTCTTCTGGGAGCTGGGAGCTGGCGTGCCTAGTGGACCCACGCACAAAGGCGCTTCAAAGACCCACAAATCTCCTGCAGATGCTGAAAATCTCACCTGGTCCCCGCACCCCAAGGGCAGTGCTGCTGGTGTGCGTGCTGAGCCCACAGGAAGAGAAAATCCCCAGCTCAGCCGCATTTCCCACTGGAGAGAGAGACAGGCAAGGGGCTGGTTGTGTTGGAGGAGAATTATTAAACGTTTTATGACAGGTTCTATCTCTCCCTGGAAATGTGTGAGGTAGTTTTAAAAACAGTATTCTCTCCCCTCTGAATCAAGTATAGTCACTGAATTACCTTTTCCATCTAGCTGTAAAAGACCTTAATCTTCCTCTTGTAATATCCTGGATTTAATTAAAACTCATGGGTCCTTCACAAATGAGAACTTGCACAAAAGGGAAAACATCAAAAAATGTGACAGTGCCAACATTGTTTCTTAAATTCGCAGTGTGGCGTTTCCCTCCTCCTCCTCTTTTTGTTTACAGAAGGTAAATCTTTTAAAAGTGGGCAAATTGCTAATGGGCAATAATGACTTTTTCTTTACCAAAACACTGAAAATAAAGGAGCTCCAGCGTCAAAGAAGCATGACATACTGCAGTGTCTTTTTCTAGAAGTAATTGGAAATCTTGCTCGGTGGCATTTAAGGCAGGAAATGAAATGCTGCGCCGAGGGGCCGCGCCTGCCGCTTTCCCCATCGAGTAGCAACACGCAGGGCTCCTTGGAGAGGAGCGGAGACCCAGCGTCAGACACAGGCTCCTGCGGAGGGTGTTTGGCTTTTCGCTTTGTCTTCCTGCTAGAAGGAAGGAAATAAATGCTCGTTGGAACTGATCCTTGAATCAGCGTCTAGCCTTCCCACCCACTCAGCCCCTCTGTTTCATTGTGAGATCAAATATTTTTAAAGAATGACATTAAAAATTGTGGTTTCTGTATGCTCCAGTTGCATCTCTTAGAAATAATCTGTTTGCAACCCAGCTTTGTAAAGACAGAGACCAGAAGGCATGTGTTTGAGTCATTTGCTTAGTGCTGTTCCCTAAATCTGTCATTTTTAGACTCATTTTTAACCACAGCCGCAGGACCACGTTCACCTCACTTGCCTGTTCACCAGTGTCTGCCTATCTTTGGTAAATACATTTTCTGTCTCCAAATTGCCTAAAATCTGCTCTGATTCTACAGTAACTAGCTCAGGGGATTTCTATTTATCACTACTAAAAGGGCACCATAGTATGTTTTGGTACTTGAGGCAGTAAACAGCTGCTTGATGTATTCTTTTCTTATGAAGTTCGAACGAGGACCTGCAATGGATTTGCTGCACTAGTTAATCTCGTACTGTCCAGCGACTTGTTTGCTAGTCCGTTGTGTTGGTTGAAGAACTCATTCCTCTCCCTGTCTTGTAACATGAAGTTAGAGTGCCTTTTTATATTTGTATATTCTGAAACTGTTTTGTGAAACATTTTGTATTCTTTTTTCATTTGAGTATTATCAGAGCAATATAATGCCAGTGAGGTTTCATTTCAACTTTTCGTTGAATGTATAGTGTTTTTTCCTACTTCCCCCATCTCTGCTTTGAAATGAAAATGCTAAAGTTTTCTATAGGACTTATGTGTGATATTGCTAAAATGCTCTCTTCTCCCACCACTGTAAACTCTCGGTCAGTATTATAGGAGAAGAGCATCGGAAGATAGTGACCATCTGAGTGTGTGCATAGATTGTCCTGCTCTGCGTTTCTTACGCAGCGAGCTGAAGGTTCGGTGCGAGGACCTTCGTCTGGTAGTTTTGTCTACACCCTTTATGCTTTCGCATGTGCAATATATCTTCACAAAGCACGGTGGTACAAGTCTGGTGCCAGGATTACCTTTTGCATAACATATTTGTAACAGCCTAAAATATTGTTTGATGACTTTGGTGGGATTTTGTCTGTAATGTTTTCTTATGTAAATCGGAGTTGGGTGACTCTGGTAAATGTCATGACTGTAAAAAATGAGGAAATTTTGTTTTTGGTTCAGTGAGTGACTCGGAACCAACCTGACTCTTCTCAAGCACAGTTTCATACTTTTGCAACTACTGGATGCTCTTGTAACGCAACGAAGTACATAACTGTAATCTACTGTGGAAGCGCATTCAGAGGGTTATTTTTACAAATAAAAGCGGTACAAACATCGTTGCAATGTGTGTTGTCTTCCATTTTTGCAATCTGTTTTTTCCAAAGTTATGCTAATTAAAATCTTTGTCTCCTCCTCAAGCCAAATGGACTTTAAATTTTGAAAATAAATAATCAAGCTAGAAGAATGTCTCCAAACTGGTGCTATGTGTGTTATCACAGTTAGACAAAAAAGTTTGCAACTTGTGTCTGTGTTCACTGTATTTCTTTCTGGCCCCAACAGTTTTTGTTAAGGATTTCAGCTGACTCACAGCAGGAGGTGTGCAATAAACTAAGTCTTCTCTAAGCTTCCTGATAGCCAGGGTAAGAGCCCTATGATTGGTTATGTGCTCACAGGTATCAGAAAGGAGGGAGTGAGGGCCAGGGAGATAGCTCAGCAGTCTAAGCACCTGCTTAGCAAGCGCAGGGACCCGGGTTCAATCCTCAGTACCACATGCCCCTACCGGCCCTGCACCCAGCCAGCCATTGAAACCAGGCGTGGTGGTGCATGCCTGTAATGGGGAGGCTCAGACAGGAGGATCACTGTGAGTCTGAGCTGTGTAGTGAGACTGTACCAAATAAATAGAAGATTTAAAAAATGGAGACTTAAAAAAATAGTAGAACAAGAAAGGCGGGAGTAAGCAGAGGCCACAAATCGTGCTGTCACCCAACTCTGCAGCTGTCTCCACCACCCGAGAGCTGCTGCAGCGCAGCAGCAGAACCTGCGTCTCTGTCTTGGCACCAAGGGGGTCGTAGAGTGTGCTCCTCTGCCTGCCTCGCCCTCTCCTGTAGCTCCCCTTGGAAGCAGCTTCCTGGCAGTGCCTGAAAGACCAAGGGACAAATTCCTAATGGTGGCGTTTCCAGCTCCTACAAGTTGGAGGTGGTGCTTGCCTGCATGTTGCTGATCATAGTGTCTTGGAATGTTAGTACTTCTTATGCCCGACCCCAGTTCTGCCACTAGCTTTTTCACAAAGAAACTGAATACCACAGAAATTAACTTGCTCAAAAATGCAGAGTAAGTGATCTGACTGCATCATGTATGCCACTAGATGTTCTCTCATCTGCACCTTTCTGCCACGGGATGTCTTGTTTTTTCTGGCAGAGATGTTTGGGAAGGTTCATTACTCAGGACTGCATCTCTCCTTAGTCAAATACACACATCTAAATGGTTTTCATTCTTAACTGTAAAGTGTAGATTCTGTCATTGATGATCATGTCCTGCCATTTAGAGCAGACTGGGTATATTAATTATCAATTGTTGTATAACAAATTACCTTAAACACAGAAGCTTACAACAACAAATGTTCAGCTTACTGTACCCTCTTTCCGGGAGCCACTCGTGGCTGAGCTGGGCTTATGCCTCAAGGCCCTTCAGGGGACAGCATCAGAGTCGACCTGTTCCTGCGCTCATCTACCTGGCGGTTGGCAGGTTCTTCCTAAGCTGTTGAAATGAGGGCCTTGGCTCCAGGCTGCCTGAGTTCAGTGGGCCTTTCATCCTGAAGCATGGTGGCTTGCCACAAAAAGCAAGCAACTTGGAAAAGCCAGACAAAGGCAGAGAAGACACAACTCTCCATTTTTTTGCCGAGGGGTTTCAAGAGCCACAGTCCATCATTTTTCTCGTTCTGTTCCCTAGAAGCCAGTCCCCAGGTCCAGTCAATACTCAGGGCAGAGGATGAGCAAGAAGTGAATGCCAGGCCCCAGGAAGCACCGGCAGCCGTTGCTGGAGGCTACTTATCACAGCGTCCCTTGAGAGTTGAGCATTACACGAGGACACATTCCTTCCAACAGTGGCTAAGGGAAGTGTTTACTTGGCTTCCAAAATTTACCCTTTCGAGAAAAGCAGGGATCCCTAATCTTCTTTGTCGCCTCTTGGTAGGAAGCTGACAACGGCCCCTGCTGCAGCAACCACACTGCTGAACAGCGACACAGCACTTTGTCTCCACAGGGTCCTGCTCTGCTTCCATTCAGTAAGTTCACATCCCCATTCATCTAGCCTTCACTTCACACACGTACTGCGTCCCAGAATTAGCTCTTGAGGCACCAAGATGTTGAGCTAAAAGGCTATTAACATAAAAACAGTGTGGGTAGGAGCGCTGTGTGCATTGTCCCGGCACGTTCAATATTGGCTGCACATTTGCTGTAAAACAGCAGCGCGAGGCTGTGGCGCTCGTCAATTCTCAGGCACCCCAGGTTGAACAGAAGTATGTGGGACCTGTTCTTGGGACGAGGACTGAGGGATGGGGTTGCTACCAGCCACTCACTGTCCCGAGACCCAGGGTACCACGTCTGCCGCCCAGCCAGTGGGCATCTGAGCCACTGCGTGCCAGCGCTCCCCGCCCTCTGCCCATCTGTGCGCTCTTTGTCTGTCTGTGAATCAGTTTTTCCTCGCCTTCCAAGGGTAGCCGGGTTCATGAACTCGGTTCCCTCCCCAGTTCTAGTCGCAAACCAAACGGGAAGAGAACAAAACAAATTTCCTCCTAAGGCCAACATTGAACCTAACCATTGAATTCGATTCAGTTCTCATCCAACTCGACCAGAATCATGCAAAGAATCAAGTTCTTGTGCGGCCTGTGAAGCCTGTCCTACTTCTCTGCTTCCAAGCAGAAGTGCACATCCTGCTTGCTGGGCACCCGGTGGTAAGCGGACTCCAAGCTCCAGGGCAGCGGTGGAGACGCGCTCAGCCCACGTGCCCCGGGGTCCTCCAGGTGGGTGGGCAACAGGCAAGCGCTGCCCAGGCTCAGTATTTAACTCCTCTACTTGCATGGGTCGGCTCTCCTGTCACTGGAACACAGCGCCCCACACTCACAACCTTTTGGCTCACAGTTGTCAGAGATTTGGTCTACGTGCATCGGCTCCAAGGCCGAAGGGGCGTGGCAGGAGGGGCTGGAGGAGGAGACCCGCTCACCTCACAGTGGCCAGGAAGAGGGGGAGGAGCCGAGGACAGGAGCGCCCTCCAGGCCACGCCCCCAGCCCCCAGCGACCCAGCCCCCCGCGACCCAGCCCCCACCAAGTCCCTCCGCAGGCACATTCCGCTACTGTACTGCGGTGGCTGCCTCTAACGGTGAGCACAGCACCCATGACCCAGTCAGCTTCCCCCGACGGGACTTCTGAGGGACACTTTTTGATGTAAACCTTACCTACAACTAAACACAAAGTGCGTGCACACACATCTACGTCCCTTGTCTTAAGCAAGGGCTTATTGCATCTGCTTTTCTAGTGGAAAACCCCTGCCCCCCAATGGGGCCCTGGGGCGTGGAGATCCGGCAAGGCCTAGTGCAAGCACTGTAGCCTCGTGAAGTTTTCTGGGCGCCAGTGGGCACAAATCTCTAGGCCGCCGCTTTCTACTTCCAAGTGACAACTTAGATCTCTATTTGAATCCTGGGTGAGTTTTAGGATTTTCAAGTAAAGATGTTCACGCGGTCCTTACGGCACAAAAAGCTTACTTGTGTTTAAACTCCCTTGATAAAGTACTTGGCAAACTCAAGACTATAATTATACTTGAGTTTCCTTAAAATTTTCCAAAATTAAAGCATAAATTGTACCCACCACAAGCTGCCAGCTACATACCACAGAGAGAAGAAAGACCGCGGTGGCATCCGCGGTGCACCTGGGAGGTGAAACTGACTGGCAGAGAGACTGGCCCCGGGATGCAGCACAGAGCTGATCAGAGGCCCTTGCGGGGCGCGGACATCGAGGCCCGCCGCAGCGCGACGCCTGGGGGGCAGCACAGCGAGGCACTAGCTGGGGAGGACGTGGGGACCTCGTCCCAAAAGACGCAGTGTACTGGTGGGGAAAGTGTACTAGGAGAAAGAGTGATTTCAGAGACAATATTCTCAGAGCGTAGAGGAGGATTGCTGAGTAAGGTTCACTACACTTGCGATTTATGACTGTGAATTTAAAATGAAACGAGCTTTGCACAGGCATAAAGGAAATAGAAAGGAGAGTTTAGGGCTGCGGAGATGGCATAGTGGTATCAGTGCCTGCCTGGCAAATGGTCAAGGACCCGGGTTCGCTGCTGCACACAGTGGTGGCCCTGGAACCCCAGGCCCGCAGTGCAGGCCACTGAAACCCGGCATAGCGGTGCATACCTGTAATCCCGGTACTGGGGAGGCTGAGGTAGGTGGGCCAGTGCAAGTGCGCGTTGCATAGCGAGACCCTGTACTAAACCAATTAATTAATTTAAATAAAAAGTTTAGCTGGGGCAGAGCTTTGCTAGCTGAACCCAAAGAGAGGGGGCGCTGTGGAGCCACGCTGCGTGCCACGCTGCCTGCCATGCTGCCTGCAATAGGGGTCATTGCGGATTGAGGTGGGGAGAGGCTTAAAGCCAAAATTTTAGAAGGGTGCGGTTTGAGGCCCTGCCTTCTGGAGTGGGTGACTGAGGACAGCTGAAGGTGGAAGTGCTGGAACTGAGCAGAAATGCCAGGAGGCCACAGTGATGAAGAGTTCAAAGCCATTTGTCAATTTGAAAACTTTTGGCCATTTCAAAATGCCTATTATGTACGTATTTTATTAAAAGTAGACACATACTCAAGGCTGAGTATTGTCAGACTGAGGTTTGGTTTCAGGATTCAGAGGCAGGGTTTTGTGCGTTTTGCCCACACGGGGGTGGGGGGGTGGGGGTGGGGGGGTGTCCCTGGCCCTCATGCACCCATTAGGCACCCCAGAACTCCTCCCCTTTTATGAATCAGGAGCTGGCCAGGTTGCTCAGGCTGGGCTCAAACTTGCAGCCCTTCTGCCTCAGCTTTCCAGTGCAGGGTTACAAGTGCGAGCCAGCATGCCTAGTAGGTTGAATCTTTCAAAGAAGTAAGAATGGTCAAGTGCAGAAGGCAGGATCAGGTGCGTTGGGACGAGAGGCCTTGTGGCCGTATGCCTCATCCTACACGCGATGTTCAGGCTCGCCAGAAAGCACGACAGATGGCCGAGAGCTGCAGAGCGGGCAAAGGCGCCTGCGGACGAATCAGATGCCGATCAGGGCGGAAACAATGAACAGCTGCATATCTCCTGGCGCGCCCTCAGCAAACAAG